ATTACATAGAGCAACTTGCAAAATTATTTGCTTCATCTAAACGAACTAGAACACACCTCTGACAAATCAAGTGCTTTTCTCCTCTCTGCTCGTTAGAAATGGTCCTTTACATTTTATTTTTCTGAGAGCCTCTGGCAATCGATAAGGAAGAACAAAGTTTCTAGTGAATGAAAGCTACCTAAAGAAAGACATCTGCTTTTGATGATTACTGGGTAAGATGAAGGGCTGTTGTTGTTGTTGTTGTTGTTGTTGTTGTTTTTTTTTAAAAAAAAACTCAGTAATCAGGCTTTCAGTGGAAACTTTGTACCATTGTACAGATTGTAAGATGCACTTAATATTTTTTCTGAGTTTAAAGGAGTATCTCGGGTAAGCATTGAGGAGAAAAGCACTTGTGATACAATCTGTAAGGAGGTACAAAGTTTCCGTTGAGAGACAAAGCTACCTAGAACATCTGCGCTCTGCAACTCTTGCGTATCACTGCCTTGGCAGTGCCTCATTGACTGAGCTACCTGGTGAGAAGCAAGCGATTCTTCACCATCAGAACAAAGAAGCTTCTTTGCATCAAGTGAGACGAAAGGGGGGAAAAAGGTAACATTTATGAAATGCAGTTGCAGAAACAGTTGTGCATCATATATGCTCGTCATGTGTGTGACTGCAAAGCATTATGTGCTTTTTCATTCACCTTTGTTGCTCAGATAACTTTTAAAGAGGTTTTCAAAACTTCTGCATAATCAACAGTGGGTGTACGTGTGTTGTATGTGTGCGTGTCTATGTGTGCGTTCAGCTTAAAATATTTAAGTAGGATAGCCATTCTGAATCGAGGTTAGATTCAGATATTTACACGTAGTTATTGTAGAGCTGCCATCTCTAAACCATTAGTGTAGAATAGTTTTGTCCCTATATGGTCTCAGTGGTTTGTAATTCAGATTAAATTCCTCTCTGTGTGTAATGGAACAGACCTGTAGGTTGGAAAGGTGTTATGCCTGTGACTATACACAGTAAGAATCAGGTTAATGATAGCCAATGTTTACTGTTACGTAGCAGCAATATACAGTGGAAAGACAAATAAAGCAATGATACTCATTTTTCCTCTGCTTTCCCCATTCATAAAAATAAAAATAAAATGGGAAGGACATTAACTCACACTCGCAAAAATTCTATTATGTTAGGTTAAAGAATGGCACTTGCTCTGACGTGAAGAACAAATACACAAGCGATATATTTGCATTGTAACTACTATATGATCTGGGTAACCTCAAACTAACATCAGTTAAAACTCTGTATCTGTCTATTAGAGAACAGCATATATATGAAAATGCCAAATTCTGATTATTCATACAGCCGCTGAAGACAGCACTTACTGAAAACTGATGTCACCCTTCAGTTAGCATAATTTCATTAGAAGGAAGAGACAGATGCCTTTTTATTACTGTCTCCTTTCAGTGATGTTTGCCTGACTGGAAAGACGGGTGAAACCCTTAACCACTATGAATAGTGGTTTTGCTTTTTACTTTATTCCACACATGATTTACCCCTCTCTGATTTAATATATATCGTCTGTGTCTTTCACTCCTATTTGCTTCTCCTTCTACAGCTTGAACAGAGTTCTTGACCTGTCACATGTGCACAGTGTTGCAATGACTGAGCGCATGCATGTTAAGAATTGTATTTTTGCAAGTGTGCATATGCATCCCATAATGCTTAAATATAATTTGAGAACCTGTAATGAAAAGTGCATTAGAACTGCAAGGCAGTCATTGCTAGTTACATTCTTTTCAACCTGATACAAGCTTGTGGAGTAACCACAAAAGTCTATATGAACTGAAAGTCACTGACGTTTTTATATTCTTTCATTCTCAGGAACTGGGGGAAAAATGAGTTCCTCAAGTACAGAGCCCTTTAAAGGCGAAATCTCAACTTCATATGACTATTACGATAATTACAACGATGCTCCAAAACCATGCAGTAAAGAAAGCGTCAAGAGGTTTGCAGCCTCTTTTCTACCTGTTCTGTATACCCTCGTATTCCTGGTTGGGCTGATGGGAAACACTCTGGTCATTGTGGTCCTGTTCAAATATAAGAGACTGAAGAGCATGACTGACGTGTACCTACTAAACCTCGCCATCTCAGATTTGCTCTTTGTTTTCTCCCTGCCGTTCTGGTCTTATTTCACAGTAGACCAATGGGTTTTTGGAACGCCCTGGTGTAAAGTCATTTCATGGATCTATCTGGTTGGGTTTTACAGCAGCATATTTTTTATTATGCTTATGAGCATAGATAGATACTTGGCAATTGTTCGTGCAGTGTTCTCCTTGAAAGCAAGAACTGCCTTCTACGGCCTGATTACTAGCCTTATTGTCTGGTTAGTAGCTCTTTCAGCCTCAATTCCTGAACTTATATTTAGAGAATCTTTTAATGAACAAAATTATACTACCTGCAAGCCAAGATATCCAGGCAATTTCACAACATGGAAACTCTTTTCCACTTTGGAAATCAACATTTTAGGGCTCCTCATCCCTTTTATAATTATGGCATTTTGCTACTCCGTAATCGTTAAAACATTAGTTCACTGTAGAAATGAGAAAAAGAATAAGGCTGTGAGGATGATCTTTGCTGTCATGATTGTGTTTTTCATCTTTTGGACCCCTTACAACATTGTGATTTTCTTACAATTACTGGAAATTACAGGAGTCATTAGAGACTGTCAAGTGAGCAGATATCTGGACTATGCTTTCCAGATCACAGAAATCCTAGGCCTTTTTCACTGTTGCCTCAATCCAGTCATCTATTTCTTCATGGGGGAAAAATTCAAGAAATATTTAAAGATGCTCTTTAAGGATTGGCCATTACCCGGAGATATTTGCAAATGGTGTGGCGTTCACATCACTTACCATACTGAATCTACCACTTCTTTCCACACACAGTCTACTGGGGACCAAGATGCTCTGTAACGTGCTTCAAATCGACTGCTGAACTCACCAGAAAGCAAACTGATAAAAGCTGAAACTTTAAAAAGCTAAGCAAATGAACAAGCATTTTATGATAAGTTAGTGCCTATAACAACTTACTTTAGCTTTGATTTCTGCCTCTAGATTTTCTGAGTAGAATGACAGAAGGTGCCCTAGATGTGAAACCTAGGAGATGGGCATGCAATTTTTACCTGCTACAATTACCAGTCACTGCTCAGATGTAATAGCAGCCTCAACTTGCTGCAAAGCACTGTGCTGTGCTTCTTATTTTTCACCAGTTGGCCTGCATGGAGGGGCAGAGGAGAGTGAGCTTTTTGTCATCAGCAAGTGCATCTGGAAAATATCTTGGTTTATTCATGAAGAATACCATTTTTTTTCTTAATTCTGCAATTGATCTGCGCTGAACTTGTTCAAGCTGTTAGTAAGCTGTTGCTATACCCACCACTGTTAAATGTTTATCTCAGGGAGAGGATACACCCTCTGTTGTTAGGAAAAAGGACACAAAGCATACTTTTTAGGTGCACAAAGACTCAAAGCCAATGCATTGCATTGTTTTAATAATATAGGTATGTTTTCTCTTAGGTATCCAAGTTGCCATATGTACCTATGTGTAGGTATATATGCAAGTGTTTTGAATGACCTCATTGCTGTAATTCGGGACAACCGTTCTGTATTTTAATTAACAATGTTTAAAATGTTCTTGAATAAAGATGTTTTTAAAACTGACTTTCCAGCTTGTGTGAATAAATTTGAAGTATCTTGGTTATATATTTTAAGTGGATGTTCTTTATTTGAAACACCTAGACTCTTCACTGAAGACATACCCCACAAAACAAAACTAAAACCAGAGATTGTGTAGGAAAGGCCTGTCAATTAGAAACCAGACAAAGAGCAGGAGTATTTCACAACAAAGCAAAAGGCCAAGAGTGATGCCCCAGTAGTGTCTCACACGTCTACATGAAGTTAATCAGAAGTCTGGAACAGAAAGGGAACTCACACAGCAATGTTTAGATCAGCCAAAAGGGAATTCTGGCAGAAATATAAACAGTTAGTAAAAAATTATTAATGTGGTAGCAGACAAAGTAGAAATTGAAAAACTTACATTGGAAGATATTTTTGGTGTGTCTTTTTTTGCTGGACCACAACCACTCAGTAGGAAGACTTTGATCATTGTTAGACAGCCAATAACAAAGTCCCTGCTCAGGATTAAGGGATGGCTATAAATAGCAGACAAGATGTTCAAAGGCATAACAAAAGGGCTGGAGAAGAAACATAAAAATACTATAATGCTATTGTTCTGATCACCCTAAGAAAAAAGCATAAGTGGAAGCTTGCCTTCACATGACCTCTCGCATGATACAACAGACAGTTTGAAAATAAAGAGCAGCATGCTTAAATACTCATACGCACACATATCTGTCACAATTAATTTTGGGAATTTTAGTAGTTCACTGATGTTGACATCTTCAAGCAAGGATCCGACATTGATACAGATAATGAGAAAAGCTCTGGAAGACGTTACTTGCATTAAGAAAACGGCCTTCCTCCCAAAAAAAAAGAATGTTAATTCTTATCATTCAACGCTTTACAAGCCACTGAATAAATCAGTTAGAAAGAAACAGCCACAAGGGGTGAGTTAACTCATCAGTTACCTATTTTGAAAAGGAAGAGCAAGGCCAACTGCAAGTGTCAGGTGCTGGAAAGTGTCGCAGATGTCACTGAGCCTGACAACATGGCCCTCCCAAGCCAGCACGGCATTTCTTCTCATAGATGCGACACTGATGGAGCAGGCACCGTGATTTACTAAGCTATTCATCCTTTAAGTGCTTGGAAGCAACAAAGCACTCTGCAGTTATTTTCTCTTGGTCACCCACTGCGATACCTCTAGTCAGGAAGAACAAACAGGCCCTTTTGAAAGAACTGGAACTGGTGAAAGACCTTGCTTATTGCCTGGGAAAGTGCTGACGGTGCTGGTGTGATTGGGACTAGCATAAATGATGGTCAGCAAGCAAAAAGCAAGCTGTAGGCTATTCATAACTCCTTGGTAAGAAAGGTTTGGAGCTAAGAGTGGCCCTAAGGAATGGCACCAAGGCACTCAGCAGCTCAGAGGCTGGTCTGGCTCCGGGCATGCACCCTGCAGTGGGGGAGGACGCTGAATCCACTCATGTGTGGAATTAACGGGCCGCACCCAGCCGGCAGTGCAACATTGCTTTAAACGGAGTCAGCAAAAAGCCCCTTTTCCTCACAAAGCTAACAGACACTTCCAGTCGCCACTCCGTTCACACCCTGTGCATATGTGTGCTTGGTGTAGAGCACCCGATGCAGCCAGAGATCTCCTCTGAGCCCATGTTATTCTGATTTCTCTGCCCAGTGAACGTCTCCCAGTCCACCCAGTAATACTCACAGCTCTTCAACACACGTGCGGGGCGAGCAACTGAGCTGAAAGTTGTGCTCAGGGCAGGTTTGCTCCATCTGGTGCAAGGGGGAGCTCGCCATTCAGTGATGGGCTCAGGAATCCATGTTCTGGGACGGGGGCTCACCAAGCCTGGATGATTTTCTCCTTTCTGTCACCCTGCACAAACCCCTCCTCCTCCAAACACCGACCTAGAGTGGACAACGTCACTCCTCTTTTGAAAGAGCGCTTTGAAATCTGCTGATGAAAAAGGACAAGGTAAGAGAATATTATTAAAGATAGACAAAAATAACGCAGGGATTTTCAAAATGTCACTTGACCAAAGGTGCCATTTTAGCTGAACAAGAGTTTCCAAGTAATGAATGACTATACATATAGACCTATTGTACCATAAAAGAGGATAGACAGACACTTGAGTAGCAAAGTTGAGTCATTCCTAAACCCACATTTTTACATCAGGGTTCCACAGAAGGCCAGTCTGTCCTCCATTCAGGTGCTCTAAACCATCACAGAAAGGTAGGTGGGGTGGAAAATCAGCTCAGTGATGCCAAAAATAAATAATAATGAAAAAGTGAAAAAAAAAGTTCATTGGTTTGTTTTCACACAGTGCTTAGGTCACTGCAGTCCCTCCCTCAGCAAGAGGCTGAATTAGACACCTATCTTCTTCTCCAGACTGTAGCTTCATCCCTTTTGACCACGCAGAGGAGGCACCATGGCAGCCAGCCTGTCCCCAGTCCACTCCTCTCAAGTTGAGAGCCAGCCCTGGAAAGAGTGAGGAATCGCTATTCTCCTTTCTACACTATTACTACTTGCCACTACCGCAGCAACAGGTCTAAACATCTGGCCTGATGGAGGCTGCAATTCAACGGGCACTGCAGTGCTTCTGTATTGCCAGGAAGCTTCTAGTCTTAAACCGCTGGCAGGAACCCACGTTCATACTTTTTCCTCTAGGAACTTTTTCCTGTTTTGTCCAGCATCTCTTTCTTAACATTGCCAGATACCAGCTCATCAGCTCCCAACTCTTACACAAATAGCTCCATTTGACTTGATTTACTGCTAGAACGCAAAGGCCATTCAGTAACGTCGGTCAAAATGATCACTAAAACGGTGCTTAAAGAAATGCCTTTGGAGAGCATTTCACTACAGCAGGCACAAAAGAAACTTTTAAGTAGGAGACTGAAAATGAATGCTCAGTATAACTGTGGTGAGATTTCTACATTCACATAGCTGATAAAAGCATTCAAAGGCAGTATAGCACTGGTCATAACTGCAGTAATCTTACCCTAACACAGCAATGATGTACCAGGTGCTATGGGCAGTAATGGAAAAGCCACTCCTAAAGGAGCAGGCACCGTCAATCAGACACCAAATCAGATGCTTCTGGGATGATTTTCTTTTTCAGTCATTCAACAGCAAGCTCCATCAGAAAGACAAACAAAACCCTATCTTACAGGCCAGACAGTGACTCAAAGATAGCTTGCACAGAAATGAGGCTCAGAAGTGGAAAAGCCTCTTCTTGCCTGTTCCAGACCAGGAAAACCCAAAGTCCCCTGCCAACCCCTTGACCAAGTTCTGGCACACTACAGAAGAACGCTGCTGTTTTCTTTCCCTTAACATATCTCTTCACACATCCCCTGTGTGCACTGCTCAAAGCAAGATCGCTCATAGGCCATGATCAAGGTCACTGAGCAAAGGCTTTTCTTTTCATTTATTTCTGATCCTCCTTTGAACTCTCAGAAATAATAACATGCATGTGATCTCTCTGCTGAAAAGAGTAATGCCTTCTCATGCATCACTGGCCCTATGACCTTTTTTTTAAGAGTCACCATTTTATAGCTAGGAGACCTGAGGCATAGAGCAAGAGCTCAGACGTTATGAAACTGCGTTTTTGAGAGAAATTCAGAGCCCTTCCAGTTCTCCTGGTGAAAGGTTCACATTTCAACCTGGAGATGGGGACTCCAGATCTGAGCCACCCATACTGTGCCCTTTCCGGTAGCTAAATCTTGAGATGTGCCAGCCAGGAAAGTCCCAGTCTGCATCCAGATTCTGCAGGTAGGGCCACATCACTAACGTGAAGTGTATCTGGCAATAAACGCATGAAGGTGCCTAGCTAATGCCATCTTCCAATCAAAGCTGCTCTTCACTGATGCAGCGGGTATTGTCCCTCTTCAAACACCGGACAGTAAGGATTCTTGTCTAGAGATGACTGAAAGAGAAAGTGTTTCATCCTCTGTGTAAGCACAACCTAAATATATGACTGATTAAGGTATCATACTCCTTTTGGTGGTTTTTTTTCAAGGCATCTTGAAAGGATTTCTGAATTTTAGTTTCTTGCTCCTGAGTAACAGCATGCATTCAGTATATATAGTTCAATAACAGCACATTGCAAGCTTTTTATGATGCTGCAAAATAAAAATTTCCAAAGCACTGGCATTTAAATTCCAATAAAGTGTTTGTTTCCTTGCTTTTACTTTCAATGACTACAGCAAGTAGTCAAGAATCTGATACGTTTCCACAGGTATGAAACCCTCATGAAAGGCACTCTCAGTGCTACTAGCAGTCCATAAGACAGCAAGGACTGAACAAAGGTTGACTTTACCAGATCTGCTCTTTTGCAAACAGCTGAACTGGACGTGGACAGCAATACCAGTTGCACCTATCTTTATGAAAGCGTATGTGTCTCTTTTGCATGCAGACCTGGCACTCCTCAAACTATCTCCACAGAAATACTGTGGTTTGGGACAGGTAGGTTGAGGAGAAGGTTCCTCCCCTACTTTTAACCAGTCTCAGTCACACGTACATAGAAAGAGCAGTACCAGCTAGTAGTAACACAAAACTACCTTAATCAAAGTGAAGAAAGACCACAATAGATCTCTGTACTTGCTCATAACTGATAAACTGAAATTTGATCATAAGTAAGACCATGACCGCAGCCTGAGTGACTAGTGTTTTCCACTACCAAAGCATGTGTGAAAGGAGTAAAGAGCATGTAGAGAAGAGAGAGAGCGAGAGAGAGAACAGCTTTTTGATTATGCACTTCAATTCCTTGTTGCTTTTTTATGAGCACCAGGAATGGCAACAAAATAAGACTGCTGGACTGGAAGGACCAACAACGTTGTCTGCTGGCACTGCAGCATCGCTGCCGAGAAGCTGCAGAACAAAGGCCTGCCCTTGCTATCAACAAATCTTGTTTGCGCTTCTAGAAGAGTGAAATTAGTAGCACAAGGCAAGCGGACACAAGGCAACGCTGCAGACGAGAGGCTGAAGAGTTTACAAAGGGA